TCTCTCTCTCTCACACACACACACAAACACACACACACACACACACACACACACACACACACACACACACACACAAAACAACATCAACAAACAAACTACGGGTTGCGCACCCGTGCCCTCACGGTAAGTCAATCTCCTGTGGAATATCAGGGAGCAGGGTGGTTCCGGATCCCTCTACAACCTTCAACGCTCAAATTTCAGGCAATTGCAACCTCTGTATGAACCCCATTTTCGGGAAACATACATGACCAACGGCACAAAGAAAGGAGAGTGAGTTCAGTGCACGACGAATGGTGAGTCAGACAGCGGCACTTCCGGGAGCAGTGGGAGGGCAACTAGCAGTGGTGGGACTGTTCTTGTGAGGAGCACAAGCCAAGTACTAGCGACTACCTCGACCGGGAGCGTGAAAACTCGAAGTGTGAGAAAACCTGAAGCTCTACAGGACGACGTTGCCTTTGGAAAGTGGGAGTTTCACTGGTGGCCGTAGGAGCGTTTCCAGTAGTGCAAAGGGAGCAGAGCCTTAGTCTCGACCGGAGGTCATGATGACACGTAGAGACGTTCACTTTATCTACCCTTCTCTGCTTTAGGTATACCGGTTCCTCCTTATCTGAGTCATTTCTTTGTTCCTTTGAATATGAAATTATTTTCCCTTCTTTAAGCCATTTGTGCCACTCTTTGGGACTTCAAACGTAATCTTGTCTGCTCTTCTCGTTTCCAACGGTCTGTATTCAGTTCGTTTCTATGGCTGGATTCACCCCTTTTTCCTCTCACAAACATAGTAGGCCCAAAACTTGCCTATTACTAAGCTATTAGTATTGCATTGGCTCCTCAGAATTCTTAATCCTGGATAACTTCGACTGCTGCTCCCTCACTGATTGCACGCGCTGTTGCTCATCTCTCGTCCTCACCTGTCGACATCGATACGCTGGTTTGTTTGCACGCAGCATTTAACACGAATAAACAAGGGATTTAGCATCTTCGATTCTCTACGGTCCACAGGCTGAGCTCTAGGCAATTTGCATCTAACCGAATTCATACTGAGGCCTGTTTTCTATTTCTCCTCTAGCTTGGGTTGTAGTGCATTTTTCTTCGCATTTTGCATCTCACCGGATTTACAGACCAGGTCCCTGCTCCCCTCTATCTCTAGGCTCTAGCTGTACCACGCTCTCTAGCACACGCCTCTCCGTTGAAGGTACGAAATGTTTGTCGGAGGTTGGCTTCACTAGTACGGTGTGAATTTATAGTGTTGGTGCTCTTTCTGTTGCTTGGCTTCACTACGGTGTGAACTTAGATTGTTGGTGTTCCTTCTGTTGCTTGGCTTCATTACTGTGTAAACTTAGATTGTTGGTATTCGTTCCTTAGCTTGGTTGCCTCTAGTTTGTAACACACTTGATAGTTCCTTGCTAAGTTCTTCTCCTTTGGTATCTATACTGGGTTTGTCCGTAGTAGGCAACGGAACGACTGGAGGTAGTGGGAGACCTCAGGCTGCTAGTGGTTGTGGCAGCGTTGATGAGCTACTTAGGGCACGGCCGATTAGCATTTAACTGATAAAACAGAAAATCTGGGTTGTACCCATTGAGATCTAGAGTACCTGGAATATGGTACTCCCTACAGAGTCTCAAGGGTGCAAGGTGGGAAACCTCGTCATGACAACCCAGGCTCCACACGGCTATTAGCTGGTCTGACGGGCCTCTCTGCTGGTTTTGATGGATCTTCCTTCGGATTTTTGCAAATCACCTGCTCCAGATAGAACTCTGTAGTTTGCTTTAGATTATTAGGTATTTGTTGTTTCTTGGTTAGTCTCATTAGGCTATGGTCTCCTGCCAATGTAAGCAAGGTCTCTTCATTGGAGGTAGTTTGAGAACTGTCCTCTTTTCTGTAATATCTTTAAGCGAAGTTGGGTAAGGCTCTCAGTCAGAATAGCAGAATAACTGGTTAATTTGCTTAGTGGTTGCCTCTCTTATTTCTAGTTTTGGAATTTGTTAGTCCAGCTGCAATTTTTTTTTTTGGCTGAAGTTGTCGTACATGGGACACTGGACCCGTAAAAAAAAAAAAAAAAAAAAAAAAA